GTATGCTACTTTATCCATGAATGTTCTCCCTATAGGCTAAAAAAGATAAATGTCAACTTTTTATCAAATTTTCCAAACTCAACATTTTGCTTTAAAAATACATCCCAGAGGAAAAATGAACTAAGGCTTATTCAGTGAGTAATAATTACATACCAAGCAGAAACATAACCATAAGGATCTAGAATGATACAAACGTACCCACATATTCCCTTATTTTCTGTAGTGTCTATATTAGTTTAGGCTGTGAACTACATTTTTCTAAAAATTAACTTTTTCCAAGTGCTAGCAGAAAATTTCTGAGGGGGACAGCCTCTAGGCAATTTGTCTATAACAGCCATATTTTTTAACATTCACTTTTAAATAAAGCAAGAACTGCTTTGGTGAAAAAGGTAATTTACCAGTATGTAGACACACACACACACACACACACACACACACACACACACACCTCTATACTACAGTGAAGTTATATATAAATAAGATGCTTTAACTCCTCTTTCCTTCAGTCATCCATGAGATCATCAGACAGCAATGTTCAAGCATTTGCAACCCAGCACTGCAGTGGACATCAATGTGAGAGCAGGATCACAAAACAAGATGGCAGAGAGCGTAACTTCTAGCCTCTTGCAAATGTTGTTGAACTAGCAGAAGGCTACCAACCTAATTTGGGACAATATGCTTTTAGTTTCCCTTGAGCATTATCTATTACTACCTCCAACCTTATTGTGTTCCCAAATCTGAGTAAACTTCTGGTGAAAATCAAGATAAAAGCAAGGGCATTCTTCTGAAGATAATGCTATGTACTTGCATTTCCTTGAATGGAACGTTCTGGAGGGCCCTCTGCATGAAACACACAAGAAATCGAGGGGAAAGTTCTAAAATTCTCCCTTAAGAATTCATTTTTGGAGAAAAAAAATTCTGAAAAGTTAAGTGATCAAAATATATATTTGAAGGATTCTAACTACATATTTCAATGTAATATTAATACTATTTTCACAGCAAGTACATAATCAATATCACCAAAATAAACATATAAGGAACATTCAGATAAATTCAGAAAAGTTGGTCTCAAAAATTTATATTAGAGGGCTGGGGATGTGGCTCAAGCGGTAGGTAGCGCGCTTGCCTGGCATGTGCAGGGCGCTGGGTTCGATCCTCAGCACCACATAAAATGAAGATGTTGTGTCCACTGAAAACTAAAAAAATAAATATTAAAAAACTCTTTCTCTCTCTCTAAAAACAACAACAACAAAATATATTAGAGGCCCTTCAGAGTCTCTGATCTAAAAAGTTCTCATGCATTTAAACTTGTTTAAAATTAGCTTCCCCTAGTCGTCCAAATTCTTTTCTCATTCTGTAGATATTTTTCCGATTTCTTTTATAGTAAAAAGTCATAAGAAATTTATCTTTGTCATTATCAGTCTTCACATTAATTAGCTAATATTTTTCAGCAACAGAATATCTGTCTCTGTCTGAACATTTCTTCTTGTTCTGTTAAGCACTTCTTTAAACAATAGATCAGCAGTAGCTGCGACTTTCAAGACAGCCCTAATCATGCTCTTAAAATCTCTCAAATCACACCCCTAAATCCAGCAAATTACACTGTTGGAATATCCCAAATTGTACTCTATAACATCTAGACTCACATTCCTAAAGATATCTCAGAATCATACTCCTGAGATAATCAGAATCACACATGAACACTTAATATAAAAAATTACTCATGAAATCTTCCTAGGTGATAAAACTATTAGAAACCAAGCTGCTAAGTCAAACCTTATGGTAAATACACTGATGTCAACTGAATTCTAACCCCAGAAAAATTTCTCAGTCCTAAACAAAAATTTTAAAATGGAAAAAAAAAAAAAAATCAGACATTCCAATTCCAGGCATGCCTACTTCATTCTCTACCTGGAGAATATATCTTTCCTTAAAAGATTTTGGAAAAGCAACTACATGTAAGGATTTATTTATTTATTTATTTATTCTAATGAATTTATTAAGTGCCTCATACATTGTAAGAAATTGTTAAGCATTTTGAAGAAAAGGAATGACATCCTCTCATGGCCCATATGGTTTACTCAAAAAGAAAATGCATACACAGGACAGTATATGAAAACCTAGTATCAAGTCAGAAGATTCTGGAAGCCAGAGCTAACAATTGATTCTGGAGACATCAGGGAGCCTTTATATAAAAAGTGGCATTTGAGCTACATAAGCTGACTGGAGAATATGAGGGTGGTAAGTTCCATGGGGGTGGGACAGATGTTCATAAAGGTATAGAGATGAAAACGGTAAAGTACCATAGAAGAACAAAGAATCATGTGGTGAAGCTTAAGCTACACAAAGGAGAGTAGTGAAGCAAAAGCCTACATAATGTCAGAGGAGAAGAAAATCACATGTCCCAATCTCCACACTTGGTAGATTGGACTTCCTTATTATGGTATCAAATTGCTGTCCCTTGCAGTCTTTTATCAAAGGTAGTCCCACAAACTGAGAGGTGCTTTAGTCAGATTAATCTGTGGGTTTAGGTAAATGGAATGATCCCAGGGTGAAGGAAAGCAACTCCCAATAGAAAATAGAGAAAAAAGCAGGCTGATGATGTAGGTCAGTGGCAGAGCACATGCTTACCTAGCATGCATGAGGCCCTGGGTTTGATCCCCAGCCATAGGCAAAACACACAGGGAAATCAACATGTGCCAAGCACTGATAGTAATACATTTAATCCTATCAATATATGATGTCTTTTTTAATCCTAACAATTCAGGCATAATACATGTGTGCAGATAAGAAAACTGCAGCAATTCAATGATTGGTGGCCCAGAAATACAAAGCTGATTGATGGAAAATTACTTAAGTTTAAGGAGTTAGGACCTAACCATGCTGCAAGAGCAAGAAAAGGGTGAGGAGAGTCTAGGGTCCTGGTGAGTACAAATGCAGGACAAATGCCTGTTGCAGAACCTATCAGACAAAGAAAATCTGGATATGACGAAAAAGCAGCAACATGAAGAAAGGACATAAATTAGACTTGAAAGTTTGAGGCGCAAACAAGAAGCAGACAAGCTACATGTTAAAACATTGAGGAAGGAACCTCACATCTCAGTAATGGACAGTTTTAAAGTGAAGCAATGCCACCATTCCCTGGTGCAGGGCAAGTCGACCATGGATGGAGGTTCCCAGAGTTAAAGACAGTGTAAAGAAAGTCTAAGATAACTGTTATGGGCAGCAGGATGGAGGGGGAAACCATGATTGTGATATTGAAGTCACTAAACTTAAAAAGAAAAAAATCTAAAGATCTCAGAAACTGGTTGATAGACATTAGAAAAGACAGCAACATATAGAGATGACGGGTACACCCAAGGACAAATATGGAGGCTCATTGGTGTTAACTGTAAGTGGCAGTGAAGAACTAGAAAAAATGTTTTTCTTTTTTTTGTTTAACTTACTTTTAATTCAGGGAAAAATAAGAGAAATTGTTTTTATTATGCTTAGTAATATCCATTCTTATTACTGCTTTAAAACTAGAGTAACAATAATATTTTAGATGATGGCCATTGTCTCCAATTTCCAAGATGCTTTCCTCACCAAGAAGCCAAAATGCAGGTGCAGGCAAGATCCCACCATACACATTCACAGGTCTTGCAGCCTTGCAAATAGGGTTTCATGTGTGAGCTGTAGACCTACTTTCACTACAAACAATGAATGGTAAAATGCAACTTACTCAGATTTAATTAATACTATGTTTAATTTGCTAAAGCTGAACTATTATATTTCATCTATTTTAAATAATTTGTTAAGTTACATATGACTCTAATAAATCTTAAGGTTATTTTGAATGAGTTTTCTGGACAAAACTGGAAATAAGAATGCAATATTCAATCTATTGCCTACTTATTCTTTTGTTTTCCATATATTTTTAGATTCCTAGATATATACACACTCACTTGTACTAAGGTGAATTCAGTTTTCATTCTAAAAAGTACTCCTGGATACAATGGGCAGCTAAAGGTAAAAGGTGGAACAAGATCAAGGATACAGTTCATTTATGTAAGTTTCCACTTCATAATGAAATGGAAAATTACACTTGGCTTTGTTCCATTTTTCCAACATTTATGCAGGTATTTAAAGTTATCGGCCTCATAAATCACCTTCTCACTTCTTGCTGGCTTAAAATTTGATTTTAGATTTCTATTTAACTCAGGTTTTTTAGCCAATTAAATCAAATCAATGAAATTTTTAAAAATCTTAATTTTACAGATATATTGGACTATTTCAATAAATAATTACATTTTAAAATAATGGCAACATCTGCAAAATCAAAGCAGCAGCTTAAAGTGGGAAAAATATAGGGAAGGAGAAGACAGGTTTTCTTTCAGATCATTGGCTTTATCAGCTTAACTTACAAAATCAGTATAAGTGATTTCTCTAGGAAAGAATTATTTTTAAAAACTTACTGAATAACAAGTTAAAATCCAAAATTCTAAAAGTCACTCGACTGAGTTGGAATTCATAGCATTGATATTAAAACATTGGCAGAAATTTTATTACCCTGTTAGCATTTACTTTGTTAAAGAAAAATGCTTTAACATTTTTCCTTCATTCAGTTATGAAGGAAATGTTTAGTTAAAGACAAAAATGTGAAGATACGTGTCACAATACCAGGTGTGGTGGCATATGCCCATAATCCCAGCTACCAAAGAGGCTGAAGCAGGAGGATTAGAAGTTTAAGGGCAGTGTCAGCGACATATCAAGACCCTCAGAAACTTAGCAAGACTCAGAAACATAATAATAATAAAAAGGGCTCAGGATGTGGCTCAGTGATAAAGGGTCCCTGGTTCAATCCCCAGAATCACAATTATATTATATTATATATATATATAAATAAACATATATAAAATATAAAATATATATATATATATATATATATATATATATATATATATATAATTTAAAAAAAAAGGTAAAATGGAAGTCCTAGTACTTTAATTTCTGCAACATACCTGCCATGAACAGTAGTAGATTTGATGATATCCCCAGGTAGAACCACGGAGAGTTCAATGTCTTTATCTATCATGTTTTCTTTCTGCTCCATGATGAATGCAGCAGATTCCACTGAATTCTCAACTGAAGAGGCATCCATGTATTTGATCTCCGCTGGAGGAAGTGGTGCCTTGGCTTTTGGTTTCCTCCTAAAATATAAATAAAAACAGAAAATAGGATCTATATTAAAAAGTAACTTTCTAGCATGATTTGATTTTATAAAAACCAAAATGCATATACAGATTTTTCACATACATAAAGAAATGCACCAAAATGTTAACCATTAATTTATTAGAGATTGGTAAAGGAAGAGAAATTGCTTTTCCCTAAAAACATGATATATTTTATATTTGCCTCTATTCCATTCAGTAAATATGTTCATCACCACATACCAAGAATGTAATTTATTTTCTTGAAGAAGACTAAGTTATAAAGATCTTTGATGGATTGACAGACATATATAAAATTACCATAAAATTTGGTGACTGATTCACAATAGGTATGCAGATGGATAGCTGAAAGTAATGAGAAGAGAACTCGATTTTCCTAGGAATTCATAAATGTTTTACAGATGGGAAACAAACTGGATTTGGGGGAATGAATTGAAATACACAGTAAGAGTAGAAATAATGGTGGACATTTCAAGAAGAGGAAAGCAAATGGAGCCATAAAAAAAAAAAAAGGAAAAAAAAAAAAAAAAACAGTACTGGGCTGGGGTTGTGCTCACCTAGCATGCATGAAGCACTGGGTTTGATCCACTTCTTTAGAATTGAAGAGTTGGGTAAAATGCCACAGAGAAGTCAAAGGAGATGAGAAATCAGTGAATTCCACTGGAATTCCACTCAGAATCCCACTGGTACCCCACTATGATTATTGGTCTTTTATCATTCCTTAATTCATGTTGATTGTTATGTTTAAATTTTTTATTTTCCCTATCTATACCTTTGGCTTGGTATAGGGAAAATAAAATTCAATTTTGTTATTGTTTCAAAGCATCTAATCTAAACACTAGAAGGGAGGCATTTAAAAATTTTTCTGTACTCCATAATAAGTAATAGTCTTTTAAAAAACATATTTATTAGTTGTAGATGAATACACAATATCTTTAGTTCATTTTTATGTGGTGCCGAGGATCAAATCCAGTGCCTAACGCATGCTAGGTGAGCACTATACCACTGAGCCACAACCCCAACCCCTAAGTAACAGTCTTTCATGTCCATGTAACCATAAAGAAAAGCTAACTAGAAAGTATGATGAAAGAAAAATTCCTTTTATAATAGCAACAAAAATAAATTTTAAAAGACTTACCAAGTCTCCCCACCTAGTAAATCAAATTTCTTTCAGTTTCCTGGTATCCAATATCCCTTTTGTCACTTAATACATCCAATCCCTAAAAATTCTGTCAGCTCTGTAATATAAACCCAGGATCCTCCGCAACCATCTCCCCGTTTTGCTCTTCCTGGTCTTCACTTGGAAAGTCCTCCTCATCCTCTTCACCTTTACATAATTATCAGGGATTGAGTCAAATTCCTGGAGCAGTCTCCCCCTTCTCCTGCGCATGCAGTAGACTCTGACTCACAGTGCTGACGTTCTGTGTGTGTTGCTATCTCACGTCCTAAAGTACTTGGAGTGTGTGAAGAAAACCCATCTCTAATCACTAATGATAAGCCTATTACGAAAAAGGAGAACAAAGCACTGGTTGAAATATCATTTACATCAGACTTCTATTAAGAACACTAATTTTACCTATTATGACCTTAATTAATAAAGAATTTGTCACACCTTTGGTACTGAAAAGTGGAAACTACCTGAGAATGAGACCGAGATCCTGTCATAATGAATTAGCAATCCAGTAGGAAACATGCAAAAGGAGCAAAGCAAAAGACAAAGGTTCTGAAAGAGATGGGTGGCTGAAGATCCAGAGCAGAGAAAGTCAGCTCAAACTCTCCCTATAGGGTGGGAGGCAGGAGTCCAGATGTGCTTTAAGGGAGAGACTCAGCTCTTGAAAGAAGAATTTGGATACGCAGAACCTATAGGATCAACCATAGACTCTCAATCGTGACCCATTCACATTAAAATTAGAAAAGAGTCTACCTCATTTGCTTCCTCCATAGTCTAATCTAATGAAAAGAATACAAGGCTGAGGCCTGGATTTGCCCTGAATCCTAAGAAGCATTAAGCTTCTAACTTAGGTGGCCATTTATTCACCAGCAAAATCTTTTAAATACATTTCTCATGTTTCCCAGTATTCCTAATGTTTTAGTTAGATGCTTTGATACAATAACAAAATTAAATTAAATGTCACTATTAGGATTGGGTAACTAGTCACCTCATGAATGGGTGAGCTGGAAAAAGATGAGAAGGGAAGAAGGGAAAATGAAAACCATAGGAAATCTTATCTAACAGATAAGCACCTGAAAGATGGGGGCCTGGTATGTTAAAACCTCCCACTGGGTGGAGTGCCATGCACACCTGTAATCCCGGCAATTTGGGAGATGGAGGCAGGAGGATGGAAAGTTTGAAGTCAGCCTCAACAACTTACCCAGTCCCTAAGCAATTTACCAAGACCCTGTGCCAAATAAAAACCAAAAAGGACTGAGAATGTAGCTTAGTGGTAAAGTACCCCTGGGTTTAATCCCCAATGCCAGAAAAACAAAAACAACCCGCCTCCTTACATCTCCTAAGATAAGCTATTGTTTCAGGATCATGTCACATCCTACCAGGTGGGCTAGACTCTCCAGCATCCCAGGAAACCATCACTGGCAACTAAAATATCAAGACCCTCACAAAGAAAGCTTGCTGAGGGCTATTTAAATAGTAATGAACAGGTTAAGGAGGCAGGAAATTGAGGCAAAACCTGGGAGATTAAATTTCCTTAAGATCCCAAACTCTGGTTGAGCATGGTGGCACACCCCTGTAATCCTAGCTGTTTAGGAGGCTGAGGCAGCCTCAGCAAAAGCGAGGTGCTAAGCAATTCAGTGAGACTCTGTCTCTAAATAAAATACAAAATAGGGCTGGGGATGTGGCTCAATGGTCCAATACCCCTGAGTTCAATCCCCGGTAACAAGAGAGAGAGAGAGAGAGAGAGAGAGAGAGAGAGAGAGAGAGAGAGAGAGA